AAGATAGCTTAAGGGATTTATAGGACAACATCAAATGGACTAACATAATATTATAGGGCTCCCAGAAGGAGAAGAATGAAAGATAGGGGCAGAAAGCTTATTTAAAGAAATAATGGCTGAAAATTTCCCTAACCTGGGGAAGGAAACAGACATCTAGATCCAGGAAGCTCCAAGAGTTCCCAATAAGATGGACCCAAAGAGGGTCACATTGAGATACAATATAAATAAAATGTCCAAAGTTAAAAATAAGGAGAGAATATTAAAAGCAGAAAGAGGAAAACAACTTGTTACCTGCAAAAGAATCCCCATAAGACTATGCAGACTTTTTCAGCAGAAATTTTAGGCCAGAAGAGAGTGGTATAATATATATTCAGAGTGCTTAAAGGAAAAAAACAAAACAAAACAAAACAAAAACAAACCCTTCCAACCAAGAATACTTTATCTAGCAAAATTATCATTCAGAATTGAAGGAGAGATAGTGTTTTCTGGACCAGCAAAAGCTAAAGAATGTCATCATGATTAACTGGTCTTGTAATAAATGTTAAAGGGACTTCTTTAAGCTGAAAAGTAAGGATGTTAAAGAGTAACAAGAAAACATATGAAAGAACAAATCTCACTGAAAGCTAAATATATAGTGCAGGTAGTATGGAGGTTAAAAGACAAAACTAGTAAAAATAATCATGATGACAATAAATAGTTAAGGAACACACAAGATAAAAAATGTAAAATGTGACATCAAAAACAAAACGTTGATAGGGAGAGTAAAAAAGCTGACTTTTAGAATGGGATCAAACTTAAGTTGTTATCAACAAAAAATGTAATGTTACAGATTATACATAATCCTCATCATAAGCACAAGCAAAAACCTATGGTAAATACATAGAGAGAAAGAGAAAGGAATAAAAGCATACCACTTAAAAAGTCATCAAACCACAAAGGAAGAAAGCAGGATAAGAAAGGAACAGAGAGGAATTACAAAAACAGTCAGAAAATAATTCAAAATGGCAATAAGCACAGACCTATCCACAATTACTTTAAATGTAAATAAACTCCAATCAAAAGACATAGAGTGGCTGAATGGATAAAAAAGAAAAAACAAAACAAAAGAAGACCAGCTATATGCTGCTGCCTATAAGAGACTCACTTTAGATGTAAAGACACAGGCTAATGGAGGGTATTATGTTGAGTGAAATAAGTCAAACAGAGAAAGACATGTATCATGATCTCACTGATATGAGGAATTCTTAATTGCAGGAAACAAACTGAGTGTTGTTGGAGTGGGGGGTGGGGTGGGAGGGATGGGGTGACTGGGTGATAGACACTGGGGAGGGTATGTGCTCTGGTAAGCGCTGTGAATTGTGCAAGACTGTTGAATCTCAGATCCGTACCTCTGAAACAAATAATGCAATATATGTTAAGAAAAAAAAAAGAAGAAGAAGGTAGCGGGAGGGGAAGAATGAAGTAGGGGAAATCAGAGGGGTAGACGAACCATGAGAGACGATGGACTCTGAAAAACAAACTGAGGGTTCTAGAGGGGAGGGAGGTGGGAGGATGGGTTAGCCTGGTGGTGGGTATTGAGGAGGGCACATTCTGCATGGAGCACTGGGTGTTATGCACAAACAATGAATCATGGAACACTTCATCTAAAACTAATGATGTGATGTATGGGGATTAACATAAGAATAAAAAAAAAGACACAGGCTAAAAGTGAAGAGATGGAAAAAGATATTCTATGCAAATGGAAACCAAAAGAAAGCTGAAGTAGTATAGCTGAAGAATATCAAACAAAACTGACTTTAAAACAAAGGCTGTAATAATAAAGATGGATGTCATATAAATGATAAAGAGGTCAATCCAAAAAGAGGATGTGTCATTTATAAATATTTGTGCATCTGACATAGGAGCACCTAAATATGTAAGGCAAATACTAACAGACCTAAAGGGAGAAATAGACAGCAATATAATAATAGTAGGTTATACCTACTTACATCAAAGGATAGATCATCTAGTTAGAAAACCAGTAAGGAAACACTGGACTTGAATGACACATTAGACCAGACAGACTTCACATATACACACAACATTCCATCCAAAGGCAATAAAACACACATACTTTTCAAGTGCACACAGAACATTTTCCAGGATAGATCATATTTTTTTTTTTAAGATTTTATTTATTTATCTGACAGAGAGACAGCGAGAGAGGGAACAAAAGCAGGGGGAGTGGGAGACACCCAGGTGCCCCAGGACAGATCATATGTTAAGCCATAAAACAAGTCTTAATAAATTTAAGAGGACTGAAATTATATCAAGCATCATTTCCAACCACAATGGTATGAAACTAGAAATTAATTACATGGAAAAAAACTGGAAAGTTCACAAATATGTGGATATTAAGCAACATGCTACTAAACAAAGAAATCAAAGAAGAAATTAAAAAAAAAACCTCAAGACAAATGCAAATGAAAATATACTAAAATTTGTGTGATGTAGCAAAAGCAGTTCTAAGAGGGAAGTTCATAGCAATAAATGTTTACCTCAAGAAACAGTCTCAAATAAATAACTTTATACCTCAAGGAACTAGAAAAAGAACAAAGTCCACAGCAATTAGAAGGAAGGAAATAATAAATATTAGAGCAAAAATAACTGAAATGGAAACTGAAAAGGTAGTAAAGATGATCAATAAAACTAAGAGCTGATTCTCTGAAAAGATAAACAAATTTGGCAAGCCTTTAGCTAGATTCACCAAGAAAAGAAGACAGAGGACTCAAATAAAGAAAATCAGAAATATGAGACAAGTTACAATTGATACCACAGAAATACAAAGGATCATAACAGACTGTTAGGAATGATAACACACCCTGCTCTTAATTCTGTAAGCACCCATGAAAACTAAACAAAGGAGTCTGTTACTTAGACACCATTCCCAGGATTATCTAACCAGGAAAGATAAAATGTACTATAACTACAAGAAGAATATACAGTGACCAGCCAGGACATGCAAATTATTAGTTCACTGAACTGAGAGGCTATACTCAAAAGGTTTGTCAGATGAACAGAGCAAGAGTACAACGAAGCAGTCAAGACTGGTTTTGAAGTGCATTTGGGTAAAAGGTAGATGTGGGATAAAATGAGCACAGGCTGTCTGCAGTTGTTTTTTGCTAGGTGTGGCTTGGCTTCAATAGAGTTGCAACATGTTCTTACAGAAGTCAAAGCACTGGCACACAAAACCCATCCTTACTCATAAAGAGCTTGAGTTCTCAAAGGAAAATATGCAATCTCTGCAATTCAGGGATCATGTAATACCTCAAAATTCCATGAACCTTTTTAAAATAAAGAAATTTCATCCCATCTCCAAATTTCTGAATTAGAATGTCCAGAGGCTGAGAACTATCCATATATACTTCTAAAAAGTTTCATAGATGACCTAGAGAACTACAAATTAGAAGAAAAGATTATTAAGAAAAATGCTATTCATGTCGATTCTATCTTTAGTATTTGCCTTGAGATTCTGTGTCAATTCTATAAATTGAAAGTAGTTATGAGAAAGAAATATATGTCCTTAGGAAAGTCAATTCAAGTAACACTGGTCACTGTGACTGGGGATATAAAGTACAATCTACCACTTCTGCTCCAGGAGCCCTCAGTCCAGACTTTGCTAAAAGGAAAGGTATAATAACCACCTTTGACTACTGTCCATTTGAGGTCATATTTTTTAGCTGTCTTTCAGATTTATCTCCAGGAAGAATAATATTTTCACCATAGTTAAATGCCTCCATTTTTCCCATTCTTTGAAAATTCCTGCAATGAGTAACCAAACCCCTTATTTGATATATTTTTTTTAAAGTTTCTGGAGTATGATCAGCATGACCTCCACATCTTATTACTATTTTATGGGAGGTCATTAAGTCTCCTTCTCAGAGATGAAGTATAACTTCATGTGGGCTCCAGTTTTCTGACTTTGATGATGATGTCTCCTAATGGTTTCCTAGTTTTCAGATTTGATTATATTAATGTAATACATTTCAGGCACTAATGATGTTATCTTTGAGAACCACCTTTAGATCACATAAGAACTCCCTCAAAAAAGGCTTATGAAAATGCCACCCACATTTTCACTTATGATGCTCTCGTCCTCATCATCATCTTAAATCCTTAAGGAAACATTTAGCAAACCTTCTCATAGTGAAGACTTCTGTCATGGGCAAACAGTTAAATAGATGCCAACTCTTCCAAAGCCAGTGCTTGCTGATGCTTGCTCCCTGGCTGGCAAAAGAACCTTTTGCACAAATGCTAAGAGGTTTCTTGGCTCCACTATGTACTATAATTCACCCTGTTATGGAGGAAAACAGCTGTTTTGTGATCTTGGTCTGGACATTTGCCATATTGTCATACTGAGTTAAAATCCCAACTCGCCTCTCAGCACTGCAGTTCAGTCTCTAGGCTATTGGATAATGAATGGAGAGAATATTTGGACCTTCTCTTTTAATTCATTGACTTTGATTGTCCTGTCTAACTTATAGCATGTTTTGTTATTTATCAATAGCCAAACTTTTAGCAATACATAGCAATAAAAACATCCCTTGAAATTTCATGTTTCCAAATCAAGATGTTCAAAGATAACCAGTCATTATAAGTGAATCTCCCTGAACACATTTCATGGTTACATGTAACTTCACTGGCTCATGATGACACCTTATTCCCAAACCATGTACACTGCTCAAGTGGCTGGTGTCAGCACTTGGTTTGTGTGCAATCTGATGTCAACAAATGGCCCTCGATACCAGTTATCATATATTTGTGATATACCCAAATAAAGATTGCTGCTGGAGAAACATCACTGAGAATTCTCTTACCATCACAAATGTAAAACTTCATAAAATGAAATTGCATTTTAAAATTTTAATCTTAAGGGGTTTTAACATGAAGTACACAAGACAGTTGAGAATTTTGTATAATTATTCTCCAGAATAACATAAGCATATCCTGAAACAACTCACATGGAGTAGTCCACTTGAAATTCAGGTAATACAGTCACATCTTCTTAATAGTGGTAGGTACATATAAAAAGGAAAAGAACATAATGAGACACATTGGGAAGAATAAAGATATCACTTCCTTTCATAGAGATGCGTCAATTTCCAGATTCCTTTGGATACATTTACTATACCACTGTGAGATTTCACTAATCTAACCACTGCACCATTGAACAATCCACTAATAACTCACAAAGGATCATCAAGCTTCATTTAAGGCAGTTAGTAGATTATCAAAGGGACAAAATGTTAATTCCATCTCCAAATGGACTTACAGGGCATGGAGATTCTCAAATCTGTCAATCAGAGGAGGAAGACATGTATATACATATGCATTTCGATCACTGAACATAAATAATGACCATTTCATCTAAAGGGCACAATTTACGTTCTGCTCTTGTTTCTTTAGTTCTCAAAGCCTGGTTTGTTTGTAGAAAGATAGTATTACCAAGCCTTTATCAGTAAATCCTGATGGATTTACGATTATCTAAAAATTACTTAAGAGAGTGAAATACTTCCCCAAACTCTGTGACCACTTTCAGATATGGACAGGAAACACTGCACGTATTTCTTGCAAATTATAAATCATAATTTTTCCACAGGAAGTTGAAGTCAAAGTCATAATACTGAAGAGTAGTAATGAAAGAGTGTTTCTAGGAAGTAATAGCCACACAGAATGACTGGAACAGATCACAACTAATCCAGAGCCAGAGTGGCTTCCACTGGTGCCATACAGTTGCAGGGACACAAGTTATTTCCTTGTGTCTGTGCACAACAGCCAATTCTAGGCACACGTTCTAAATCCCATTTCCAGCACTTGGAAAAAAATATTAGTAAAGAGATGTGTATAGATCTGGTATAATGTCACTAATTCTTAAAGAAAGCACAGGATGAGACACGGTTCACTAGTTATAATTTTTTAAACAATTTTCAGAAAATTTACTTTGTTGATATTTATTTTGTGAGGCAAGATTCTTCCTGCACTTGAAAGTCTGTTGCATGTAAATGTAATAAATATTAAAAGGACAAGTATTTCATGAGAAATATTTATAAAATACTTCAGATTCATTAATAAAACACTTTAGAACAAAATAAATATTTTGTGTCATGGCAATGTCAGCAGGAATAGATCCAGTAATTATATAAGGCTTTTGTGCCCTGTCCTGAAAACACATCATTCTAAAAGAGGACATGAAAATGCATGAATGCATAACATAAAATATCTACTGCTAAGGCAAAAAAAAAAAAAAAGAGCACTTGTAGTTCTTCAGCTCCCAACATGAGCCAATGTTTGAGAGAAGAAATGTGTTTGCTTTATACAATACTATTCACAACCAAATTATCCCAAAGTGCTTTACAAAGTAATTAGTTGGAGACTAGTATGAGAGTATGTAGGCAAACATAGGAGCCATTAAGACACTCAGCAATAGCTCACACACTGCTTTGGACATTAGAACCTGTTTTATTGAGAGTGGAGATGTTAGTTCAATTACAGAGTAATTTAATAGAATAATTGGAATTCATCTGGGTCTAGTAAGTTTTACAGATCATCAAAAATGATAAGCTAACTCCCTATATTTTTTTTAATTTCTAAAAATATCCAAGTGTGAATTAAAACATATATTTTCCCTCAGGTAATTTATTTACAAGAAATTATTGCTATGAGGTTAAATTATAACAGAAAAACACTATGTAATTCTCTCCAAAAGATCCTTAAAAGATTTGCTAAGAACATATTATTTCACAAATTCTTTTCTTTACCTTCCCGATTGACAAACACTTCACTTGTTTTCCCCTGAGCTTTGTTGATGCAAGGATTCAATCAGAAATCCTTTTCTCTCTTCTCAATATATTTAATCCTTACCCTTCCTATAAGTCACAGGTCATTTTTTTAATTTTTTTAAGTCACAGTTTAGATGTAACTTCTTTAATGAAAAATCTCTCAATGGAAACATCCACCTTCCTGGTTTTATATCACATGTTTCTTATATCTCTCACTGGATCTTGGCTCAAGTTATTTTGGGTTAGCAATTACAGTTTGAGAATAAGACCCATGAGGACAGCAATAATGCCCGCCACCTCATTTATTCCCAACACATGATCAGACACGTGGTTTCCTAAATTCGTGCAGATAGCAGTCTGGAGGATGTACCGTCAGGAGCTTCTCTAAGAAAGCACTGCACCATGATGCAAAAGTTAAACAGCCAAGCTTCTGGCTTCTACTCTTTTACCAGCCTGAAGTTTCTTCCTCATCCACCCATGTCCCAAATTCCTTTGATCCAGGGGCACTCTCTAGACACCATTTCACACATAAACAACCACTTACAGGCAGATATGATGACATAACTGCTGTCTTCATCTTTTCACCATTTTGAGTGGCAGACACAGCCGGCTAGGATTAGCTGAGTGGCTGCCAAGTTCTTACCTTCCTCTGGTCCTCATGTCACAGTATGGACTGCCCTCGGGTGGCCCCTCTTTCTCTACAGAAGCAATGAAAATAAGCAAAAGACAAAATAATAAAAGGAAGAATAATAAGAGAATAAAAAGGGGAGTCGGATTTCTACCTAAAATGCATCATAAAATGTTAAATTCCTTTTGCTCTAAAACCTATCTCTGTTTCCCACATCATCATTGAATATGCATGGAGGAGGTCCTACTTTGAGTGTTTACTCAATAAAGGCTATAAAATCAATGGTTTCTGTTAAGCAGCACCATGCTTTGTCAGTTTGGATTTTGCGGTCACTTTTTTGTCTTGGGCTTCACTTTGGAAGTCTTTTTGGCCATGAAACGGTTTCTAGTAACAGGTGCAGCCTATTATCAGCGAAACTAGATAAGTGCCATGGCATAGTCTGCACCGCAGAGGCTAGTTTAATTTCTGTGCTTACAGCCTACAGTTCTTTAGCCTGTCTGACTCACTAAGAAAACACGTCCCAGGCCAGAAGACAATCTATCGCATTTCAAGGCTGAAGCCAATTGCCTCAGATGAACTGTTACATTGCAGCCACCAGGGAATATAGAAGCTGCTGCTATTACCAGTTTGGGCTTTGTTGTTTATCAGTGACAGACAACCAACCCAAACAAGTTTATTCAAAAAGGACTTGATTAGCTCACCTACAGAACAGGTCAGCCTTGATCCTGGGGCTCACATTAATGTTACCAGGATCTGATCTCTCTTAAACACTTAGCTCTGTGTTCTTTGTGTTGGCTCCATTCTTTGATAGGAATTCCCCTTATGGTGCCAAAATGGATGCAATGGCTTCAGCTTCATATCCTGTAAATGCAAGTTCTATAGTCCCAGGAGATCTCTGATTATAACTCATTTAGCTTTGACTGTGTCAGGAGATTCCCACCACCCCCCAGCCCCCGAAACAATTACTCTGGCCAAGAGAATGCAGTGCCTAATTTCAGAAGTTGGAAAGGAGTCAAATACCATCAAATAAGCAAGGGCTGAAAGTAGAGGAAGGGTGGTTTACTGAGGGAAGTCAGGGTGCCATTTGGAAGGTAAAGAGGGAACAAAAATAAAGACCAAATTGTAAAGAGCTGCTATGCTATAAACATAAAAAAATTTCTTTTTTGCTTCACTAGGGGTTTAATGCAGTACCAATGACATTCTTTGTGACATAATTTCATGTATTTCACTTTAGGTGGACTTTGGATAAAAATTTGCATAAACATTTAGGTAGAAAATATTGTCCTCACAGACTGATCTACAAATTCACGTATCGATAGAGTAAGTAGATATACTTAGGACATTATGAGCTGTTAATGGCATTTTGCCAGCTCTCTAAGTTCTGGAAGCCTCTTTGTGTGATCAACACCCTCTAGGAGGAGCAGACTAATCTCTCTCAGTTGAGTTAAAGTTTCACGATATTGAAAACTCTTCCATCAAACTATTTTCCCCGACTTTACAATTTATTGAAATTTATTGAGCTATTAGCTGCTACAGATATAATGAACTGCAGAGACAAATTCTCTGCCCTCATGAAGTGTAACTGGTGTGGTGGTATGATCAATCTGCATTCTGAAAAGATCACTCTTATTGAAGCATATGTAGGGAAACTAGTTAGGTAGAAACTACAATAGTGTAGGTGAGAGATGAACCTAAGTTTAATTTGAACAGAAAAACAGGAGATGGAGCAAAGTCATAAGAATAGAAAGAAAATCTGTAAGACTGTTGAATCACAGACCTACCTGTGCCTCTGAAACAAATAATACATTATATGTTAAAAAAAAAAAAGAAGAAGAAGATAGCAGGAGGGGAAGAATGAAGGGGGTGGAATCGAAGGGAGAGACGAACCATGAGAGATGATGGACTCTGAAAAACAAACAGAGGGTTCTAGAGGGGAGGTGGGTGGGAGGATGGGTTAGCCTGGTGATGGGTATTGGGGAGGGCACGTTCTGCATGGAGCACTAGGTGTTATACGAAAACAATGGTTCGTGGATCACCACATCAAAAACTAATGATGTAATGTATGGTGATTAACATAAAAATAATAAAAAAGAAAAAAGAATAGAAAGAAAATCTGAATATAAATTGTCGTTAACTTGCCAATGGCTAAGAGGTGAGGCTGCTGTGCAGTGGGACGTTGCTTCCTATGTATCTGACTTAACAAACTGAATGGATGGTCCCATACTCTCTAATAAGAAGTACTGAAAGAGGACCAGGTTTGAGAGATGCCAGATATTTTTACCTCTCTTATGACACTAATAGTATATCTTGCATTTTACTTAGTTCTGGGCCTACCTTATTCTCAATCACAATATTACTGCCTCATTCAGTGAGAGATCAAGTCTTACGAGTTTCATCTTACCCTAAAGTCATCATCATGCCTGGCTCATAGTAGTACCTATTTATTGTGGTCCACCTACTTTTGTGGACTGATTGACTAAATTAATGAATAAGCAAATAAAAAGCCATGTATGGCAGTATCTAAAATATACTACCACATTATATTCCTTTCTATTCACCATTATGTTTTGCAGGATTCCTCTTTAAAGGACAAAATTCTGAAATTTTTAAGTAACTACCTTCAAAATATGATCAGACTTCTAACTGATTATAATAATTTATCCCCCTTTAAGAGGAAGGCTGTGTTTGTGTTTTCCAGTTCTACTGATATAACTGACATATGTCACTGTCCAGTTTAAGATGTGAGGCATAATAGTTTGAATTACATATATTGTAAAATGATTACCACAAGTTTAGTTAGCATCTATCACCTCTTATAGACAGAGGAGGTTTTTAATCAAACAAGAGGAGCAAGGAAATTATACTGGTAAATATAATGAATAGAAAGGCAACCATGTACATCTTTTCTCTTGTACAAAGCTAGGGAAGGCTAGGTCAGAAAAGCCAGTTTGAACACTTACTGTCCTTTCTCTTCCCCACCCCCAACATTAAAAGCTACATTAAGTGGGAAGCACTGAACACGAAGACTAAAAGAGCAGGCAAGGGAAAGGTAAATAAGGACCTAGTCTCCAGGTTAAGGCATTTGGATTTTATCTGGAAGATGGTCATTGGCCTTTGTTCTCTTTGCCTCTGAACTCCCAAAAGTACTTATTTTTAAATGTTCATTTGACTATATAAGTGCTTTATAACTGAGAATCTATTATGCTATCAGATTGTCAATTATTTCTTTCGCTATTTAACTTTTCAAACGCTTGTCACATTTGAGTCATAGCTAAGCCTTTGAGTTGGAGGGCTACCTTGATCTTCTTTGTAGTCTGGTCCCATCCCTTACAACTGTCTTAATTATAGTTAGCAGTTGTTTGATTGGTAGGCTTCCCATTAGTTGTTGTATTAATTTATTAGGTGGTTCTTATTCTTTCAGTGGTAAATGGTTAGCCTTTAGAATGTAAATAAAGAACATATTGACAATGTTCCTTCCACCATTTCAGCTTTACTCTCATGTTCTTCGTGGGTTGGAGTTACTTCCAATCAAAAATGATTTCAACTCAATCATAAATCTCCCATATATCTTCAGAGGGAATGGTTCCTAAAGCACACCCTCAGGGTTATTTTTTAATCTTCTGATCTTGTAATCACTAGAGCTCAAATGGTTCCCAAGTTACTCTATAACCTTTAGACAAGCATTGATTTATTTTCTGAGTTTCATCTTGCCAGACCTCTCATTTTAAAGATTGCTTCAAAAATGAGGTCTATGTTACCTTAACACTGGCTCTCTCCTTGGTACATGCCCTGCTGTTAACTGAATACATGTCAGAAACATTAAAGACATACATAGGGCACTTTCTATGCTAATCATTAAACAAACCTTATGCTTTTCCTCTCAGAATTACCTTGGGTAAAGTAGCACTGTAATCCTGGGCTAAAGGAACTGCAACATTTTCTAATGGAATCTCCAAATGGCCCAGTGTTGCTCAGTCCTGGCTTTGCATCGCATCACTTGGAGAAGAGTTATAAAAATATGCATGGTGTAAGGTGCACCAGAGATACTGTCCTGGAGTAGTGCCTGGACGTTAGTGACACCAACAATCAGCCAGGCTTGGGAAGTATGGTGCACAAGTCAATAAAATTGTTTTTTGTTTGGCTGCTTGGTTTTTTGTTTTTGTTTTGTTTTTTTAAAGATTTTATTTATTTGACAGAGAGAGCACAAGCAGAGGGAGAGAGAGGGTGAAGCAGGCTCCCTGCTGAGCAAGGAGACCGATGTGGGACTCGATCCCAGGACCCTGGGATCATGACCCAGGCTGAAGGCAGCCGCTTAACTGACTGAGCCACCCAGGAGTCCCTTGGTTTGGTTTTTAACAAACAAGAATCTAAAGACCCTAGGTTCAAGTGGGTTTGCTAGTAATTACCTTGTGAATTTGGGTAAGTCATTTCATCTTTCCAAATCTCAGATTTTTGCCTGTAAAATAAAAAGTTTAGATGATTTGTTTTAATCCTTTATTAGACCAACAAATATTACCTACTAGATTCCAGACACACTAAATCCAGATTGGATACAACCAATATCAAATAGTCACTGACCCTGGTTCATGACTTTTTAAGAAGTAACTATCATAACCAGCAGTGCATTTTCATTTACAATTAAATTCTTACCAAAATAAAATTTTAATTGCACAAAAATTTTATTAACTGCTATTCCAAACACTCTTTCACCTTTCTGCTTATAGTTAATTGGTTAATTAAGTAATTAAATTGTTATATTACTCTGAAGGATTTTTGTAGTCAGAGGTCAGTGTTGGTTTCCCATAAACACCCTATAGTCTCACTGTATTTGGGTAGAACAAAGTGGATCGCAACCAGCTTTAATTTAGTTGCAGAAATGAATAATAAGGCAGAAAACATGGCCCAGGAGATAGGAGCTTAGACAATTTAGTGTATATTTAGAGCAAGACGAGGAACTACATCAGCAGGTCGATTTCTAATCAAGGAAAAGCTGCAAGTATGATTACCCAAATCTTGAAACTCAGGTCATTGGTGCCATAATGGTCCATCCTAGAAGATGATATCCTGTCCAAAACCTGATTATCCAGATCTGGTGGGCCTTCTGCATACACTTTACTTATCATGTCTCTTTATATGCACTCATAAAAGGAACAGAATCATTCACACTCCCATTACCCTACTTTTTGAAAAACTTATTGTCATTTTTATCTTCTAGTTCATCTCTCTTAATCTTCTTTTTATTATGTTAATCACCACACATTACATCATTAGTTTTTGATGTAGTGTTCCATGATTCATTGTTTGTGTATAACACCCAGTGCTCCATTCAATACGTGTCCTCTTTAATATCCATCACCAGGCTAACCTCTCCCCTACCCCCTCCCCTCTAGAACCCTCAGTTTGTTTCTCAGAGTCCACAGTCTCTCATGGTTCATCTGCCCCTCCGAATTCCCCCCCTTCATTTTTCCCTTCCTACTATCTTCTTCTTCATCTCTCTTAATCTTGATAGTATTCCCAGCAACCACTCAACTTCCTCTTAAGTTTTAATGTCTTCCAAAATAGGCAATGTTTTACCTTTCTCTTTCATTTGCCTTTTTCTACTATTTCTCCCAAACAGATAATGTGGACCTTCATGGTTTATTATATAAAACCTTCCAAATGTCCTGATTTATAAATTATAAAGTTGCATATATATACAGATATTTGAACACTATTGCTTTGGATCGGTTGCCCACTATAAGCCTCAGTAACTGCCCTCCACCTTGTCTTATTAGTTAACTCTTTGGATTCGGTTTGGGGTCTGAGTATAATTTGCAGTAAAAGAAAATTAGCAATTTGGGGTGATACTATATGGCATTCATTCTGCAGAGAAGACTGAGTGTATTTTTAGGCACTGCATGTTTATAACCTAATTTTCCCTCATTACTTTACAGAGGTGACCTTGTTCTAATACCTCCGGCACCTGATGTTATAAAAGTGAAATTCTTTTCAAACCTGCTCTGTTAATGTGTTCCTGCTCAGAAACAAATGCAAGATAACATTAACATTCCTGCCACAAAATACCTGCTAATTTGCTTGCAGTGAAGATAGAAAGCTTTTCATTACATATCACAAACTTCATTTATGTAGAATGAGTCACCAGGCTTGCTGAAAAGCCAATGAGCATCTAATCTCTAATGGTGCCTTCAGCTCTAACATCAATCCTCCTAGTTCGACTCATCTTTTATCAGCTATTCAGTCTTTTTTTTTTTTTAATTTCTATCCTGTTACAAAATTGTGTTGTTCATCTGTCAAAACAGCTTTGATTTATGCTTTTTTTATATTACAGCTTCAGAGAAGAAAACACACACACACAGGAATATGCTATTTTCTCATTAAGGTCAGAATAAAATCTATGTGACAGAAAATGAACAACTTGGTTTCAAACAAATGATGACATTACTAAGTTCATAAAAGTTGCATCCTGATCTTAAATTCTGCTTGATATGTGTCCCTCCATGTTGCTTCTTTTGAAAATGATCTGTAGAGGCCTGTGCAAATTTATATGCCATCTCTAAGCATAAGAGAAAAATAAAAAGAAAGAAGCTTTCAATGCCTTGGTTTGTTCTAAACATACTAAGACAATGGATTTTAAATTATGGTTATTCTATTAAAGTCATATCCTAATGGCATATTATCACTGATGAAGTCCTCTCTTAATCTCAGAACTTCCCTAAAGATTAACCCTGGAGAGCTACTTTGTGTCAATCTTGGATCATTTCCTGAGGGGGTAAAAAATTGTGCTTTATGTATCAAACTCTAACTATAGACTTTCATTAAATACATTTAATGGATACTCTTACTTATTAGATATAAAATTCCCCAAGAGTTTTAGGGACTCAGAAAACCTCATTGAGAATGAACTCTTTTGCACTGGGAGAATTAGGGAGCAAGTTAGGTTGAAAGTCAGTAAAGTCAATTAAAGTAAGGCAAAGAATGTGTGTATAGAAGGTTGAAGATATCCCATCACTTTGTTTTAGTGGCCTACTATGCAAACCTTAGAGGGTTTTTTCCTTTTCTTTTCAAAACCAAAGACATTTTATCCTTCCCAACAGGTGAACACAGAGGCATTTCCTTGCTGTAAGAGGCAGAGCCTGAAGTCATTATGCCCAATTTATTGTATCCTAAGGCCCTAATAGGTCTTCATAGCATCCTGATGAAAAACACAAGGTTCAGCGAAGCTCCAGAGAGAAATCTCCCTCGAATGAAGCCTCGTCTTATTTGTCTGCAGAAAAAGCATACACTTCTTCAGAGTGTGACTGCTCTGTGATTAAAAATGAGATACAAAATAAAGTGTATGGTAACCAGCTGGCTTCAAGTGACAATAAAGTCACTAACACCAAAGGTCTTGGAATTCTAATCCAGACCTTCTCCACAAGTTTCACACCTCAAATTATGCCTTTTTTAGCTCAGAATTCGTGGATGTGTACACACAGAGATTATATGGAAATAATGCCCTTAATATTAAGGTTTCCTGCTTCTCAACTGTCAGCTCTAGTAAGTGTATTAAAACCATCCCATCCTTAATTTTTCTAAATCTGTGTTCTTCCTTAAGACTCCAAGTTTCCCCAACATTATTTATTTCTTCAACATCACCAAATTATTAGATAGAACAACATAAAACCTGAATCCTTAATTTTCTTGATTACTTATTTACTTACATCGGATATTTTTATGCATAAATGAATACTACTATAGTACATTTGATGCTGACAGAAATAGAATCTATTCTGAAATAATCTATAAGTGGTTTTTGTGTTGAGGATTTTGCTATACCTTTCTTTGTCAAACACGTTCATCTCTTTCTGGGAAATTTTTCAACCCTGGGAAATTTACATTAAAATTACCATAATAATGGTGTGCAACTTCTATCACTATACACTTCCCAATGTGTTAATAAATATGCCTTTCCAGGTCCCTATAACAACACTAAAGAAGGTAAGATATGTGGTCAACCAATACATTGTCAGCACTGGGGTAAACTGGAAGGAATTTTGGTTCATACATAGTTCAAAAGATCTGATTACTAGCTGTAGCTTCAATTATTTTAAACACTGGTTTGGCTAAGTCACATAACCCCTTTGAGCCTCAGTTTCTTCAGTCACTAATTTAACTAATGAAAACAAACTATGAGCTATAGGTTGTCTGGAAATGAATGAAATAGAATCCCTACCTTCAAGTTATGATATAGTGGAGACTCATATATATTTAAGACTACCTATATGATGCTAGATATATAAATTAAGGTTTGTAAGACCAATGTAAGGAAAATTATGTGAGGAATAGCCTTGCCAAATATTGTGTAGATTAAATGAAATAAGAAAAAGGAATTTGAAAACGGTACACATATTATGAAAGTGCAAAGCATTATTGTCAAATGTCATTCTAGTAAACAGTCCCACTGGCCCCCAAAGATGTCCACATCCTAATCCCTGGAACCTGTGAATATGTTACCTACCTTATAAAAGGGGTTGTGCAGGTATGCTTAAATTAAAGAGTATGGGATGGGGAGACTATCCTGGATTATCTAAGTGAACTCGATGTAAGGGTCCTTCATAATAAAAAAGGGAAGCACAAGAGATCAGCATGATGAGATCTGAGAGAGACTCACCCACTAATGCTGGCTTTCCAGGTGAAGAAAGGCAGCTATGAGTCAATGAGTCTGTGGATGGCCTCTAGAAGTTACAAAAGGTAGAGAAACAGACTCTCCTTTAGCCCTCCATGAGGGAATAGAGCCATTACCTTGATTTTAGCCCACTGAGACTTGCGTTGGGCTTCTAAGCTACAGAACTGTAAGATAAGAGATTGGGTTGTTTAAAGTCCTGGAGCTTGTAGTAAACTGTCACAGCAACCATAGGAAGCTAACATACCAGGGATTAAGCTGCTTAATGTCAGACTGAAGATATTCCTAGGAACTCTGCCTCCAAGAATGAAAGGCAGACCAGAGGGGTTAGTACTGTGGGAAGGCATTTCAAGGCTAAGAAACACAAGGGAAAGGTATGTGTTATGAAAAAGACACAGGGTGACTCTTGGCCCAAATGAGAACAGAAAACAGACATGAACCATAAATGATCTATTGTTCACATATTATCAGGCATCTGTTGTATACAGAATTATATGCTAGAAGTTTCAAGGAATATACAAAAGGTAAATTCCATACATGTTCTTAAACTCAGAGTCCAGTTTTTGTTTGTTTTTAATTTTTTTTACCAAGGGCCACCTTGCTCCAAAACACATTTCCTGTTCCACTGAAGACAGATCTCACAGAACTCCTTAGCAGGAAGTCTGCTGATGGGAGACACCTGGAGGATCTGTCTCCCACAGAGGCCATGAATCTCTTCCCAGCACAGATCCACAAGGGAACTAACTAAAGTACACTTTTCCTCATTGTGCCATGTGCACAGTTCAAGAAAACTC